AAAAATAAATAAATAAATAAAATGGATAAGATGCAAAAAAAACAAAAAACAATAAAGATAGATTTTTTAAAAGATAAAGCATAATTTAGCTTATTTTGCAAGACTAACTTGTCCTTGGTCATTTCTTGCTTATGCCTCTGAAAATCATTAGTAACATGAACTGATTCCCAAGGTTGTTTCTCTCTCGATGTTTCTCTCTCTATCCCTCTACCTTCCTCTCTAAAAAGCAATAAAAACATACTAAAAAACAGTAACAGTTGTCATCATTATTGTTGTTGCTGAGGATTTCTTCTCCCTGAATTCTGCTTCAGCTAAGGGACTTTCCTCACCTTCTATTAGTTTGGTTTCTATCTTTTATGTAAGAGGCTTTACTCAGGTATTTAGTGATTCTTTGTTCACTGCTAATATTTAAGAGTAAATGCTAAAAAGCTGAATGAAAGTTCTAACCTATGGGTTTGTGGACTCTGAGCTTTACTGTACAGTGATCTGGCTGGATTGTTTCCTTGGGGATGACCTGATGTCATATCTTCTGTTTTTTATTCTTGGGCTGGTCAGATGTTGCAGAAAAACATCTTTTAGTCTTCTGCCAGATTTAGGATTCTGTAAGTTGAATGAAGAATGAAGACTGGGCATCTCAGCAATCACTACGCACATATTCATCTCATGTGTTTTCAATGTGGAACCATACCTTTAATTGTACCTAGTGCTCCCCAGTCCAGAGGCCCTCTTATTTTACACTCTCCAGGGAATAATGTACACAGTCTTCTGCCTCAGTAGAGGAGATGTTCTAGAGATCAACTGTTTCCTTAAACAACTTTCTATAAACTCTCTGATTTTTGGCTCTATCTTTACCTTGCCCCCACTTGCAATGTTTTTGATACCCCCAAGTCCTGACTGTTTGGAGGTTTTTGCTGGGTATATCTAGTTACTTCTTGGTCTTTAATTCTGGTGGCTTAGGATTCAGAGTCTACTAAGTGTATTTACTTTCAAGTTTGCAAATCTTTTTGTTGTTGTTGTTAATCTTCACTTGAGGATATTTTTCCATTGATTTTTAAGGAGAGTGGAAGAGAGAGGGAAAGACAGAGAGAAACACATCTACTGGTTGCCTCCTGCACGCACCCTGACCAGGGCCCAGGCCAGGGACAAGCCTGCAACCAAGGTACGCACCTTGAATGGAATCGAATCCAGGACCTTTTCGTCCATACCGACACTCTAGCCATTGAGCCAAACTGCCTAGGATGCAAATGTTTATCGTTGTTATCTCTTCTCCTTTGTTATTATGGATATATTCCTTGAAGAAAATTCTCTTTACTGTCATTAAAGTGAAATTTCAAAAGAGGCCAAAAGTACTACATGTGGTTAAGTTGCTATCTGCACCAGAAGTTTATTCACACTCTATTATGGCTACGTTATCATTTAGCACTGTCACTTAGGATAGCAAGTATAGCCATGTCATCAATTAATCACAGAATATGAAGCCAATAGCATTAATTGGTAACAAGGAACAATATCTACACTAATAAAAGAGAAACATGGTAATTGGCGTACGACCGCTACCCTTCCCATTGGCTAATCAGCATATCCTTATGCAAATTAACTGTCAGCCAAGATGGCGGCCGGCAGCCAGGCAGCTGGAAGCGAGCATGAGGCTTCCTTGCTAGCAGGGAGAGTGTATTGGTCTTGTCCTTCTGCCTTGATTTATCAGTCCTCCTCTCTAAATGACTACTAACAAGTGCAACTTCTCTCTCACTCTCTTAAAAGAAAGAAGGAGCGTCAGCAACTATCACTGGTGACTGGGTGGGTGGAAAAGATGACCTTGGCAACAGGGCATTTATCAATCAGAAGAAGGCTGCTGATTGTATCTCCCAATTGGGGTGAAACAGGTCCAAGATAACTTTCCTGGAGAAATTCTAAAGTCTTATGTAAACTTAGGTAATTCTTGGTTCTACCAAAATGCAGGTAGGCCAACTGGGAATCTGATTGGCTTCCACGTGCTCATGGCCCTCATGGCTCCTTTTGGTCTGCAGCACGGAGATCCAACTCCACAGGAGCCATGTGGTGCTTTACAGACTGGATTACACTGAGCATTAGGTCTTGATTGACAGCCAGAGCAGCACTTCCAAATGATATCTGCACAAGAATTCGACTGCAGAAGGCTCAACGGCAACCACAGGCAGCTGGAAACACCCTCCCCACGTGGGTGCACTGGAGCTGCCAAAACACAGAACCACATGATACACTGACGATGTTCAGAGAGGCCAGGATGCCGCTCCTTCTGGATGGTGTGTAGCAAAGAACAAGAGAGAGTTTAAACATTCTGTCACTGAATTGTTGATTTTACTTGGTGGTAAGTGAAATTCTATTTAAAATGCTATGACAAGACCATATATCAGGGCTTTAAAAATAATGCAAAAAGAAACTAAACAGATTTTCCTGTTTGTTTGTTGTTTTTTTTGTTCCTCTGACAATTTATGTATCAAAGTTATAAGATTAATTTCTATACTTTCTATCAGGCTTTTGAATCTTTTGAAATGAACTTTAAACATCTGAGTGGCGAAAAGTGAAAAAATGTATGAATGCCCTCTATTAAAAAAGAGAAAGAAAAATACTGTAGCCTTGTTTATAAGGGGTTTAAGTTCGGGGGCCTCTTGGCTGCTTGAACACTTATGGTCATACTTGTGGAAAGAAAGTAATGATGAAATTCAAGTGTCATAAATAATGGAAGTATCTGGAGAGTCAAGTGTACAAGAAGTAGTTTGACCTATGCAGTATTCTGACTCAACATTTTTTATTTTTAAACCTTAAAAATGTACAGATAAGCCCTGGCTGGTTTGGCTTAGTGAACAGAGCATTGCCCTGTGGACTGAAGGGTCCTGGGTTCGATTCTGGTCAAGGGCACATGCCTGGGTTGCTGCTCAATCCCGAGTAGGGGACTTGCAGGAGGCAGCCAATCACTGATTCTCTCTCATCATTGATGTTTCTCTCTCCCTCTCCCTTCCCCTCTGAAATCAATTACAAACATGGTAATTGTTTGTAATTACAATTACATGGTAATTGTTTGTAAAAACCAATTACAAACATGGTAATTGACCGTACCTTCGCTACACCTCCCATTGGCTAATCAGCAAGATGGTGGTTAATTGCATACGGAGGCGCAAAGCAGTGGAGCGAAGACTGAAGACGGCTCCGGCCGGAGCAGGCGAAGACTGAAGGCGGCTCTAGCTGGAGCGAAGGCCTGGGTCCCAGGTGCCGGAGGAAAACCGGTGCTGGCAGCCAGGGGAAGGGAAGGCCTATTGCACGAATCTTTTCGTGCAACAGGCCTCTAGTTTTTCTATAAAGAACTACTGATTATGGCAAAGTAAAACTTCCCAGGAGAAGATTCTTGAAGACCCTTGATTAAATTCCCAGTTGTAAGCCTTAAGATATATTAAGAGCCTTCATACATTTAATGGTTTTTTAAACTTGTTTGTTTTGTTAATCCTTACCCGAGGATATTTTTCCATTGATAGAGAGTGGAAGGGAGGGGGAGAGACAGAGAGAGAGAGAAACGTCAATGTGAGAAAGACACATATTATTTCTTTCATGAAACTCGTTTTTTCCACCAGGTCTTTCATAAGCCACAAACCTGATTTCTTAAAGTGTTGCCTACTACATTTTGTAAAATAAAACTTTGATTTTGATGTAGAGCTATTTTCTTCATTATGCTAAAAGTGAAGTTTAATGGTCTTCTGCTCATATTCTGCTTTAGGAAAGCAATGTGAAGTAAAGCACTGAGAACAAATACACTGGGTGGCTAGTAAGTACCAGTAGGCACCAAGGAAACAAAGATCAACAAGTCAAAATCAGAAGTAACTTTCTTCTATGATTGGCCACGTTTTGAGTCTCTTAAGCAATAAGGAATTTCAGAACACCAAAAGAACTCTCTTTTAGAGATTCCACAGCCTATTTGAGAAGATAGGCATGTAAACATGCTGTCTCATATGATAAGCTATACATTATAGTGATAAAGAGCCCAGGATTTGAAGTCATACAGACCTGGATTTGAATCTAAGCTAGGTCACTTACTAGGTGTGCAATCTCTCAGAATTCTGTTTCTTCAACTATAAAATGGAACAACTGATACCTAAACTCAGTGACATGAAGATTAAATAAGCTACTGCAAATGAAATATTTGTTACTGGACAAAAAGTAAAACCTCAACAATATGTTAGCTGTTAGGCAGGAGAAAGGCAACATGAAAAGGAGAAAAGGGGCACAAAGAAAGCTTTGGTTCAAAATAACCTCTTTTGACAAAATTTTCTAAGTAGAGATCCAGTGATGGATCTCAAGATCTGAAAAGTTGATCTGCTTCTGGTAATGACGAACTGAATATTTTGCTTAATCCTCTCTATTAAGAGAATATAGAGGAAAAATTCATTAATAGGAAAGGGAAAAATTACAGCATCCCGATCTAGAAGGAAATTCAGAGAGAAAGAGCCTAGCATTTGAGATAATCTTTCCCTGGGGGCATCTGCTGATTCTGGAAGAGGGGTCTGAGAAGATGAGAAGTTGAACTTGGACTTGCTAGTTTTTTGGGTCTATCTTCATGAGAGATGCTAATCTGTAGTTTTATTTTCTTGTGTTTGTCTAGTTTTGGTATCAAGGTGATACTGGCTTTATCCACAATTTGCTCTTCTTTCCCTCTCCAATTCACTACTGAACCCATAAAGATCATAAAACAACAGAAATTCACAGTACCTATTCCCACATTCCACATAAGTGCTTGCTAGTCCTACTCATCCCTCAGGATAGCTCACATGCCACTTCACCTTTGTTTCTGGGGATAACAGCACTTTTCTTGATATGCTGTGAGACTCTGGATTCAGTCTGAGAGGAGAGACCAAGTCTAATCCAACTTGGCACCCTGAGACTGAGTTGGCATTGACTAGGTATACATCATGACTTTTTCAAACTTTGTTCCTGTGTTTAACATCTTGATAAAGGAAACTTAGAAGTCATACCTGGTGGGGTTCCTTTTATCTTCCTCCGATATCAAGAACCAAACAAAATCTGCATAGCTCATTCTTCCCTCTTTCTGTACTGTTTTTCCCCTGGGAAAGGAAAACAAAACACAAGGTTTTAGTTTCCTGAGTAATTAAATAAATTTAGTAGGATGATAAATAAAGAAATAAAATAATATCTTCCTTTGGAAATTAAGTTAAACTTAAAAAAATAATCACCAGGATCAATACTGCTACCTGCATTTAGATAAAGGCCTAATGCTCATATATTGAAAAATTAATACTGTCTTATATGAAGCCATGACTGTATATATTGCAGAAAGTCTTGTTACAGTTTTACTTGTAGTTCATTAAAAAAAAAATCCTCATTGGAGGATATGTTTTTATTGATTTGAGAGAGAGAGAAGAAAGGAGAGAAACATTGATGTGAGAAAGAAACATCAATCAGTTGCCTTCCTTACAAGCCCTGACCAGGAATCGAACCTGTCACCTTCTGGTGTACGGGACAACACACTGGCCGAGCCACAGTGGCCAGGGCACTTGTAGTTCATTTTTTATTTTCAGAAAATTTTCTTACCTTGTTACTGCCCCAGAGAATATCCTTTCAATAATTCTGTTTGACGAAGCTAAATATAAATAAGAAAGTACAAAGTTAGTTACAAACATGCTCCATAAAGGTAGTACTTTTGGGAAATTTATTTTTAGTAGTTACAAGCTAAAACATAATCATCTTCCACAACAGAATAGGAGTAGTTAAAATTTTACTTATGCATCATTTATCCTTAAAAAAAATAAGAATATGAGGTGGCTTAATCAACAAATCAATAAATCATTTAAAAAAAGAACAAGAAAATGGATGTGCCTGACAGCTAGGATATATTTATATAGTTGAACACCAAGTTAGTTTTGGACATCCTGACAACTAAGACAAAAATGTATTGGTTGTTTTATCGAATAAGACAACTTTTCCTCTAAAACAAGACAAATCTTATCCTAGCATTCATTTCAAGGAGGAACTGATCATCGGCTCCTAATATAAGGGATGTTGAATAAAAAAAGGAGATTGTTTTTAAGTAGAATTTTACAAAATATACCAAAAGATACTATAAACATATATTTCTTAAATTCTCATTCTATAAAAGTCCAGGGTATAACATGGTTTAATGTATAATTTTTAGAAATTCCATCAGTTTTATTCAAAGAGAGAGACAAGTATATCTTGAGACAGTATGTTGCTTTTGATGATAGATCCTGGAGTCTAGAGTAGCATACCTCATTGTGGGTTCAAAAAACCCCCAAAACATTAGTTTTTAAAAAAGAAGATGACAATGGATATCAGACCTAGGGATATGGTAAGGACATATCTCTTTTTTTAACAAGTGCCTCAGACAATGGCATGCACACTAAAATTTCAGAACCAAGGATAAGGTCATTAGAGAGCTAGCAGCTAGCAGCATCTAGCATAAACTTAGGTACAATCAGCATAAAGGTAAATTAGTTTGGCTAAAGAATGTTGAGACTATGGGTGTCACAGTACAGTCATGTCTGGCCACGTACTGAAGCTTATATAAGGACCCTCTAGACTTGTTGAGCACTGGTTTATGGGGTTAATAATTTGAACTAGATAGAACAAAAGAGGGCTGTATAGGAAAGGCAAGAATATTTAATTCCAAAGCTAACGTATTTTTTGAAAGTCTATTTTTTTTTTAGATTTGGAAGACTTAGCCCTCTAAAACTGAAGATCATGTTGTCCCATTAAGAACAGGTCAGTGGGTGGGCAATTATGTAGTTTCAGTGGTCCATTCATTATGCAGGTCCAGATGCCTGTTTTTCTAGACTTCATCCCTTTAACATGACTATATGAATCGCTATGTGTAGATATACAATATTTTGGGATGTAATGAGTATTATGTCAGTCAGAGAGGGTGCTTTAGAGCCCCTAGGCTTTTTCATGACCTCTAGCGGCTGGCTCATATTCTACAGATGACCTGACACTGAGAAGGTAATTAGAAGGTGCATCGCTAATAAAGCTGACGGGATGAATAGGTCCATCTTTTTGGTGACAGGAAGGCTATGAGTACTTGAAGAAGTAGTACTAAAATGCTTATCAAATAAGTACATTTGAATATTTTCCTCTTCATGCCTGATTGGCACCTGAGAATCTGTGAGGTAGAACTGTTTCTTAAATATGAAAGTTATATGAAACTTAATATCATATAGAATGAATCTTTTCTTAAGATGTATACAGACATGCCAAATAACAGAAGCAAAATTCAATGCATTTATTTAAGAGTTGTACTCTGCTGCATCTAAAAGGCTTTTAAGGTTGATTTAAGAAAAATCAACAGTGCCTGAGAAGACATTTAAGAACTGAACAGGGACAATCTTATGAGAGAAGAATGAACCACTGTATCTTGGTTAAAGATATTAAGTCACTCGGTTCTAAGTTTTCTACTGGTAAAAATGAAGCAAAAAGGAGTATGTGATATATAAGTTTTTGTTTTCTGACAAAAGAAAGCACAAAAAATTCATCTGCAAAAAAATATATATTTTCTGAACTAAATTCCTAAAAGTAAGCTTTTATAAGAGTCCTTCAAAACATTGGCACATTAGAAACATTATTTTCATCCATGGGTGTGTATAAATACTATAAAATGAGAAATTTATAAAGGAATATACATACTCTCTTTCAAATAAACTTCAATTCATAATCAGAAAGTAAACATCACAGGCTCTCCAATTCATCAAAACTAAGACTCTAATTGCTTACTTACCTCCAAACTCCTTCTCCAACACCTGGCTTCTAAATAAAAAAAATTAGTATTTTCACTTATTCCTACTTAAAAATTCTTGGCCCTTTAGGTTACCGAATTTAAAAAATAGAAATTCTCCATAATGAGGGGGGACAATTTATGTAACTGTTGCCTTCTTCAAAACAGTCAAATGTCAACATCTATAGAAACTCACCCTGGTCATTGTATCGAGACAGATCGGCCTGGCTGATGTAGAGGTCATGATCACTATCTAGTTCCCAGAATTTACAATAAATAACATAAAAATGTTCATAGGAAAAGTAGTCTGTGATTTGGTTTATATCTTCCTCTTCTTCCAAAAGCGCTAGAGTCTGAAATGGTATGAATAAAGAAAATTTATTTTAAAATTATGAAAACCCAGCTTTGGGCATTATATAGAATCTAGTAAATTTTTCTTTTAAATTGAATTTAAAAACTTGGTTTTGGTATCAAATCAGGAACTTTAATAGGTAACCTCACTCTCCCTTTAATCACCTGATCAATCTATAAGCATTAATGAGCTCTGTAATATGCTCAGCAAAGCGTTAGATGCTATGGAGGATTTAAAAGCAAGGGGACTGCAGCCTATCCGAGGCCCCCACAGAACAATTAAACAACAGGTTTAGTTACATGGCCACATATTGACATACTTTTAACTTTTCAGTTATGCAGTGACATCTATTCTATTATGAAGAGTGGGCATCCACATATAGGGTTTTTCTTTTCTTTTTTTTAATCTTCACCTGAGGATATTTTTTCCACTGATATTTAGATAGAGTGGAAGAGAGGGAGGAAGGGAGGGAAGAAGGGAGGGAGGAAGGGAGGGAGAGAGGGAGAGAGAAACACTGACCAGCTGCCTCCTATATGTGCCCCAACTGGAGAAGGGAAAGGAAGGGAAGAGAAGGGAAGGGAAGGGAAGGGAAGGGAAGGGAAGGGAAGGGAAGGGAAGAGAAGGGAAGAGAGACATTGATTGGTTGCCTTCTTAACTCGCCCAGACCGTGGCTGGGATTGAACCAGCAACCCAGGTATGTGCCCTAGACAGGGAATCAAACCTGGACCCTTCAGTGCTTGGGCCAATGCTCTAACCACTAAGTAATATTGGCCAGGGTGAAACCTGTATGGTTTTATTAATCAACGTCACCCTAATAAATTCAATAAAAAACGAAACACTAAAAAAAACCAAACACCCCAAAACTCTAAAAACCAGCCATACAAAACCATATAATACATATATGTATGTCTCTATATATGAATAAAACCACAGATAAATGGGTTCCCTCTAGGGAAAAGGGGGTGAAATGGCAGAGTGATGAGATAAACAGTGACTTCAGATTATTATTCTAGATATGTTCATGTTATTAGAATATTTTATGAGCATATACTCATGTATAAGAGGAAGGCTAAGGGGAGAGGTAGGGAAGAAAATAGAGGAGAATAAGTCATACTCTAGGAAGCACAACACTTGAGTTCTAGTTCTAATTCAGTCACTTACTTGCTGTTTGATCTTATCTAAGTCATTCAATCATATTTGGGCCTCACATTTTATCACAAGTTTAAAAAAAAAGGACTATAATGATTCAGAAACTACAAACTCTAATATGCTTCAGGAATGTGAGATGTAAGGCCTCTTTTAGGGAATTGCCATCTAAACCCAATCCATATTACCTACTGAGAGCCCAGGCATACACAAGGTATGCAATAGATATTAATAATACTGTGATGATCACTGTTCATTTTAGAATACAAAAAGTTTGTGTATCTATTATGGGCTTCTAATTTTGCCAAGTCTACATTACTTTGTCTCAGATAAAGACAGAAAAAAATATAGATTAAATAAGGGTGTTTTAGCCTAAACTACATTTAGTATAATTCATTTAAGATAAAATATTTCATTTATTTTCAAGTGTGAACAATTTTACCTTCTTCAGGATAACAGAGGCTTGAATAATCCGGCATGAAGATTATCTCGGTAAAAGGCTCCCACTAGTGGTCAGTACTTTCTCATAAAATAAATAAAATAATTGAATAAAATGTACTCTTTGTTAGAAGGAATTTTTAGTACTTTTCTCCAGCAGGAGCTGGATAAAGAGTCATTGTTGAAACGATTAAGTTGAAATTCTTCTATTTCTTTTGCAAGGCCCTTCCCAACCCCGCTCCATCTCACCCCTCAAGCCTCATCACTGGTCACTCTCTGAGGAGCCTTTGGCCACTTAAGACTGTCCTGTAGTTCCTGAACGTGACACTTTCATGCTTCTGGGCCTTGCTTATGCTGCTTCCTTTATCTGCCCTTTTTTTCTAATTTCTATCTTGGTAAACTCCTGATAGCTCCAAGGTCAAGATCACATGCCAGTCCTTCTGTGGTCTTCTTTGCATATTTATTATACTTTTCTGTGGAATTTTTCAAGTCAGGTGTGGCAGTGCACTTTCTTTTTTTTTTATAATATATTTTTATTGATTCAGAGAGGAGGGAGAGGGAGAGAGAGATAGAAACAACAATGATGATAGAGAATCACTGATAGGCTGCCTCCTGCATGCCCCCTACTGGGGATCGAGCCCACAACCAGGCATATGCCCTTGACCGGAATCGAACCCAGGACCCTTACAGTCTGCAGGCTGACGCTTACCCACTGAGCCAAACCAGCTAGGGCAGTGCACTTTTTCTCTTTTGCTCTGCAGTGCATGTGTTGATGTAAAAATCCCTTGTTATTCATCTTTGTTCCTCCCAACATATCCCAGGTGTCTGATAAACACTTAATGACTGAAAGTAGTGACAGAGCTTCACATACAATAAGCACTCAAATATTTGTTAAATGAAGTAAAATTATTAAATTGTTCCTTATATATGAATTTCAGAGAGGCATACTTGCAAAAAGTTGCTTTTTCTTATCTCTGTCGAAGTAATTTTCCCACTCCAAGATCTGTTCACTGTGTAGAATATTCTCTGAATAACCTGGTCCCAAAGGAAAACAAAACCAGATAAAAACATTAAAGATATACCAAAACAAACAAACAAAAAAAAAAACATTAAAGATATCAATTACTTCACCAAAGGCCACTGCATCTTATCAACATACTTTAAATCTGATAAATTTTGGCTTTTTGATTATGTCAAGTATCATTTCTAGTAAAAATTAACTCTTTAAAAAATCTACAGCTATATAGTTTGCATCTGCCCCTATCAGTCCAAGAATAAAAAAATGTCTTTCCACAAGTCTGCCTTTGCCCAGCTGCCTACATGTCACTTTCTTAGTTTACCTTTCATCTTATACTGTGATGCCTGATTCAAGTAGTACTGGATGTTTTGGGAAGGTAAATGAGGTGGGAAATATATACTGGGTTTGCTTAATAATTAATGGGTCAGAAGAATGGCTGCCAGTGTGATAGGATTTGAGAGAGCATTATTTTGGTTATTACAGCCTAATTCATTGGAGTCCTTAAGACAGTCTTGCAGGGTCTCTATAAATTCAAATACACTGTAATAATTTACATCCGAATCCTTATTTGGGCATTAACAATTTTGTTAGCTAGTGTTTTATTGAGTTGAACAGATATGAAACTATGGAGAAGATATTGGACAGGATGGGGCTGGGTAGCAAATGTGTATGAGATTGAGGATATGTGTGCTGTGGTTTAGGGGATAGTTGGAAAAGAAAGACAAGGCTGCAATGGAGGTAGGAGGCCACAGTGCATTCTTAACAATTTTACTTGGGGTTATTCCTACCCATTTAATTTTGATCTATTAGTTATTGTATTTTTTCCTCCAAAAGGAGGCAGAGATGAGGACAATTTAAGCAGATTTTTTGGGGGGTACTTTGGTTTTAATTGTCTAAATAACATAGAAATCCTGTATCCTTAGTGGTTTTATCATGAAAGAGGTTAGATCCTTTTAGTTTATTTTTAATTTTAAAAAAATATTTTATTGACTTTTTACAGAGAGGAAGGGAGAGGGATAGAGAGTTAGAAACATCAATGAGAGAGAAACATCGATCAGTTGCCTCCTGCACAACCCCCCACTGGGGATGTGCCCGCAACCAAGGAATATGCCCTTGACTGGAATCGAACCCAGGACCCTTCAGTCCGCAGGTCGACGCTCTATCCACTGAGCCAAACCGGCTAGGGCTTATTTTATTTTAATTAATCCTCACTTGAGGATATTTTTCCATTCATTTTTAGAGAGAGAGGAAGGGAGGGGGAGAGACAGAGAGAGAGAGAGAGAAACATTGATGCAAGAGACACATCGATTGGTTACCTCCTACATGCGCCCCAACCAGGGCCAGGAATTGAGCCTGCAACTGAGATATGCGCCTTTGACCGAAATCAAACCCAGGACCCTTCAGTCGAGGGCCAACGCTCTATCCATTGAGCCAAACTGGCTAGGGCAAGGTTAGATTCTTTTAAAATGCTATTTTAGTATAAGAACACAAAAGGGAAGACATTTGAACACCTATCCAAAAAGATCTACTGAGAGACTAAACTACCATTCTGCTTCTGGATTCTTTAGCAGAGTAATTCTCAAACAGAACAGGAAACAACTAGCCTCAGGATGAAGGTCCAGACTTCTGCTACCCAGCATTCCTCACCCCACCCCTGCTATCAGTGCCAACTCCTTCTGACCCTTCAGAATCTAGCTCAATTGCCAACTCCACAGGAAGCCCCAGAACAGGGGCTGGGGTAGAGCTCCATCTTCTGTGCTCCTACTGTCACCTGTCTCCTCCAGTCACCCTGTGCTTATATTCTAAACACTGGTGAACCTGACCATCACCACCTCTAAACTCTATTGCATGCAAGTGCCTGACATGGTGCTCTGTTATGTCAGATGGTAAATTGTTTGATAATTTTTTTAAAATTGAAGTTAACTAATATACATTAGTCAGGTGTACAACATAATGATTCAACATTTCTATATATTGTGAAGTGATCACCACAATAAATCTCCTTAACATCTGCCGCCATACATGGTCACAGAATTTTCCCCTACTTTGTGATGAGAACTTTTAAGATTCACTCTCTTAGCAACTTTCAAATCTGCAATATGGTATCACTGACTGTAGTCACTATGCTGTACATCATATCCCCAGATCTTATTTTATAACTGGAAGTTTATACTTTTTGACTCCCTTCACCCATTTCTCTCTGCTTCTGGCAACCACCAATCTGTTCTCTGTATCTATGAGATTGGTGTTTTTGTTTTTTTTTTAAGATTCCACATATAAGTGAGATCATACAGTATTTTCCTTTTTTAGTCTGACTTATTTCACCAACCCTAATGCCCTCCAGGTTCATCAATGTTATCACAAATGGCAAGACTTCATTCTTTTTGTATGGCTGAATAATATTCCATTGTGTGGAATTTTCTTTATCTATTCATCCACTGATGGATGTTTATATATCTTGGCTACTATAAATAATGCTGCAATTAACATGGCGTACGTATATCTTTTTGAATTAGTGTTTTCATTTTCTTTGAGTCATATGGAAATTCTATTTTTGATGTTTTATTTAAATTTTTAAAACTGATTAAAGGAGAGAGAGAGAGAGAGAGAGAGAGAGAGAAAGAAAAACACGGAGAGAGAAACATTGATGTGCCAGAGAAACATCATTTGGTTGCCTCTCACATGCGGCCCAACCAGGGATCAAACCCACAACCTGTGCATTGTGTATGTACCCTGACTGGGAATTGAACCCGCCACCTTTTGGTGCACGGTATGATGCTCCAACCGAGCCACACAGGCCAGGGCTATTTTTAATGTTTTGAGGGACCTCCATACTGTGTTCATAGTGGCTAGACCAATTTACATTCCAACCAACAGTCCACAAGGTTTCCCTTTTCTTCACTGATACTTATTATTTCTTGTCTTTTTGATAATAGCCAGGTATGAGATGATACCTCATTTTGGTTTTGATTTGCATTTCCCTGATGATTAGTGATGTTGAGCATCTATTTTTTCATGTACTTATTGGCCATCTGTATGTCTTCTTTAGAAAATTGCTTGCTAAATTAATGAGGTATCATCTCATAAAGTTTCAATGATTTCATACCATTCCTTGACCAACTTTCAGTGGCACACAGTGTAGACTTTTGTGTTACATTTGTGATAGAAATATATAGGTTGGATTCATAGCTAGTTGAATAACTCTGTTCAGAGTTACGAATAGAATGGACGCCAACCCAAGAAAAGTCTCTAATTAGTATTTTATATAAAGCAGTATTGTTGTCTATGACTTATAGATTGAATATAAAAAGTGTCTGATTTATAGATTGAATATAAAATGTGCAGAAAGGGTTAATATAGTCTAAATTATTGTGAAAGATATTACTAATGTAGTAATGCTTACTCTTGAGGAAAAATTACAGTGTAGATGTGTCCATGATCTGAATGGCTGATTATCAGGTGGAAGAAGCTGACTCTTTTTGTTATCTCAGAGGGCAGAACTAGAACTACTGGATAGAAATGCCCTTACACTGAAATGTTTCAATATAAGGAGGAGTTTCCTAAAATTAACTCTCTGAAGCAATGGGCTGTATGAAGAAGTGAAGTTTCTTCTCACCACTATTATTTAGGCAGAAGTTGTCAGGATTCCTGCATTAAGTGGGAGATGGAACTGCCTGGCGTTTAATTTCCCAACTGGCCCCAATCACTCCAACTCTGACTGAGGTGTTTCAGGGCAGAGAATGTGTCTTACTTAACACTGTATTCTTAGCACTAGCTTGGCTGAAGTTCATATGAAAAAGCTGGAGGACTTTTAGCATAGGAAATATATATATATATATATGCTTTTATATATATATATATATATATAGAGAGAGAGAGAGAGAGAGAGAGAGAGAGAGATTTTCCTCTGTTGACATTATATTTTTGTGCTTATTTCTCAATTTTGAATATAAATTTATCTTAAAGTCTAAGTTTCCTATCTCTATAAATTTTGTACTTATATACTCCTCAGATATATTTTTTGTTTTTATTCTTTCTTTTTATTTCTCCTCAGATATATTACTTATGGAATACTATTACACTTAAAATTATAAATCTTTAATGTGCATTTTTGCTTCTTATTTTACTCCTTTCTTGTTCTATTTTTTGTTTTTTTTTGAATTTTTAAAATTTGCATTTATACTGTTAAACATTTCCTATTTTAGCCTCTTCTAACCTACATATATAGTGCCATAAAAATGTACCTGGAAAAAAAATGTATTCTATTTTCCATTGCCTAAATCTCCTTATTGAATGGCCCCACTTCATCAGCACATTTATGTTTCCACATTACTGATTCAGCATTTTAGCTTACCGAGGTAGGGGCACCATCTAGTGGTGAGAACATGTAGCTGCTGGTTCTACATACATTTTTCCTTCTAACTTTGGTCTACCGCTTTTAAGGGAAGTAAAAAAGAAATTACTTTAAAAAAGATAGAATAAAAATTTAAAGTTAATAATAATAATTATTTACTGCCAGTGAGAGGAATGAAACTTGACAATTTTTCACTAAGAGATCTCTAGTCAACTTGATAGATAATTTGAATTGCAAGTCAGTTTCCTTTCTTTTTCTTTATCTCTGCTGAGTTGGAGACCTCTAATTCACAATTGTAGATCACCAGAAATGGGAGTACATGTTTGGTGGGTCTGTCAGATAGTTTTTGAGTAGATAGAATGCAGACACAAGTTACTGAGAGACTGCTCACTTGAAAGCAGATAAACATACTCATATGTTGGAAGTCTGGCTCTTCTACTTGGCAGGGTGTGATGAATGGATTCCTGATCCACTCTGGTCAATATGGCTCTGAAAAGTACTTCTCCATGGTATCCTGCAGAATTTGGACTTAAAAAAAATCTATCTAATAAATATCAGTTCTTTCTTTGTCAAGAGGAAAAATTCTCAAGGGGAAAGAGTTAAACTGTTAGTGATGAGCAGTCTCCAGCACAGTTTAGTCATCTCAGGAAATACCAGTACCTT